TGAGAAAGACAAGCATGGACAGGTGTGTGTGTGTGTGTGTGTGTGTGTGTGTGAGAGAGAGAGAGAGAGAGAGAGAGAGATCTTCTCCTTGGGATCGGGGGGCGAATGTGCTGGGTAGTTGGACTGCCTCTCTATCGATTTTGGACCGATATATTGAATGAAGAACAGTCGCAATGGCACTCACGAGAAGACGTCTGTGAAAAGTAACTGACTTGTAAGGCGGCCTCCCGCTGGAAATTACCATTTTTCCTCGAATAGTACTCACGGGTGTCAGTGCTGTGTATGTATCTGGATGGTTGTACACGCAACATTCGTTCCAATGCTCTTTCTAGGGCGAACGTGCTGGGAGGAGCTCAGCTGCAGGTGCTGCACAAGCCTCGGCTTGCCCTGTTAGACATGCAAGCGCCCCGTTGCGCGCTATACAAGGGCCCCGGAGTATAGTGTAAGCGGTAGGTTGGTCGGATCACTAATGGGTGTAGTTTAAGGGGTAGGGTGGTTTTCTTTGGGGGGCTGTAGAGTGGCTCGTTGAAGCTCGCCCATCGTCTTGGGAGGGGAGAGGAGGGAAGGAGGGAGGGGAGAGGAGGGAAAGAGGGAGGGGAGGATAGTGTCGTACATGCAGCGGCCTGTACTCTTGACGAATAGAAGGCCGAAGGCGTGACCGTTAAATGTTCCTTTTTTTCCACTATGGCGTTTGGCTCGCTTTATATAGCCATGTGATGAGTAGGCGTTGTATATTCGGGTCGGGGGAAGGGAGGGTGGTCCCTTTTAAGCAGTTGCCTGTACTTGGTGTTTCAACGGGGTAGAGGAGGCGTAGGCGTTGTATTCGGGGGAAGGGAGGGCTTTCTCGTTGCTGTTGCTGGGCCAGAATGTAGCCACGTTTGTCTTCTCCTTTCTTTTTTTTTTTTTTGTGTGGTTCCGGAAACGAAATCTGTCGATCGCATTTTTCATACCTGGTTTTTTTTAACATTTTTTTTCACAAAAAGTTAACGTTCAACGCCATGGCCTTCTCTTCGCCCAAAACTTGTGCGTCTCCCCGACGTTCTCTAGATAGCTTTTGAATTCCTCAATAGATAACCAATCGATAAAACAACCCACGTAGCCCCTTCGTTTCCCGTGTGCTCGCTCACCCACCCACCCACACACACACACGCACACGCACACACACACACACACGCACACACAGAGAGAGAGAGAGAGAGAGAGGCATTGCAGTGCGCGCTTTCTATGTGTGCCTGTGAGGAGGCCGGGTGGTTGTCGCATATTCTTACTATGGTTTCGTTTCTTCTCTGAGTCTGTGTGTGTGTGTGTGTGCGTGTGTGTGTGTGTGCGTGTGTGTGTGTGTGTGTGTGTGTGTGTGAGAGAGAGAGAGAGAGAGAGAGAGAGAGAGAGAGAGAGAGAGAGAG